CTATCTTAACCAGAGTTGAAATTGAGCTTTCTTCTCCAGGTCATTTCTGTTTCTGTGCCCCATGAGACATCTTTGGTGACAAATTCAGCTATTATTGAGTTTTTCCCCACATCCAAAAGTAATTGACATTTTTTAAGTGTGTTCTGTGTTCCAGGTGGTAACCTAAGCACCTTGATATAAATTATTGCTTTTTAAATTACTTGCTGGCAGTCACATTTGACCTTCATATTTACACCTTACCCTTTGGCTTATTCCTGGTTCCTGTTAAAAGAACCATCAAATAAAGGTTGACATTTACTGATTTACTGTAAATTTTTAGCTTCTCTATCCTGGAAGCAAGAATTTTGACCTTTTTTGCATATTAGGAATGTATGTATTTCTAAGAAGGTGTTTGAAATAGTTGAATATTCAACTGTTATGTAGTTTAAAACACATAGTCTCAAAGTTAGTGAAAGAATGGTACCATTTTAATAATAATAAGATTGATATCTTTGTCAAACTTCTCCATTAACCTACATTAAAAAGTTTCTGATTTAGGAGTATCTGATTTTCCTAGCTGAGCAGAACTTCAGACATTAAGTTGTGCATGTGCTCAGTGGTAGAATGTTTGCCTGGGGTGTGTGTGTGTATCTGGGTTTGATCCCTGGCACTTAAAAAAATAAATAAAAGAATAAATATCGAGTTAATTTAACTTGAAGTGAACCTGAATTCCAGTTTAAATCTTTAAAAAAGTAGATTAAGTCACATATTCATAAACTACCTTTGATATAGAAGTAGTATTTTTGGATCTCTTTAAGAAGCAAAAAGCAGTTATTGAGAAATATTGCATTAAGCACAGGGATGAGGAGACAGATTATTTTTTAGTACTCTGGGCTCAATAAAAACCCAACTCCTAGCACATTAGGTAATTGTAAGTATAAATAGGAAATTGTCTAAAAAATTGAGATTAAGAGTATGATTAGACTTCAAGAATATATTTTTTCTTCTCCATCTTGTTCGTCGTCTTGTCTTTCTGTATATCTGCTTCATCCACTCTTTGGACCTATATGACAGAGCTTGATCTCTAATTTCTCCTGAACTTACTTTATATAGTTCAAAGAGTGAGTGCCATTTCTTTCTCACTTTCCAAAATTTCCAGAAATTTATGAGCCACTTAGTTAGGGATCATGCTGTTTGTAACATGACTGCTAAAACTGTGAGGATGAGTTGAAGGTAGAGGAGAGCAGCATCAAAAGGGTAGAAGAGGCAGTTTCTAGAAGAGAATAGGAGTAATGGAGGTATAATAGGCAAAATCAGAGGTGTGTTTTCTGAAATGATTTTATATTAAGGTTTTCTCTGATAGAAGAACTTCTAAATGATCCCCCATGTTGCACTTTTAATAAAGGGCAATATCTTGACTTGGAACTGACTCCCAGTATGAGTCTTAAAATGCTATTAAGTTGGAATTAATTAAGTCAGCAACTCGGTTGCTCAAGTAAGAAAGGTGTGGAAAAGAAGTTAGCAAGATTTCTTGAGTTTTTGATAGAGCAGTTGATCATAGCATTAAAGCTCTTGTCCATCAGATTCTAAGTACTAGATACTAGCTCACATTCTTTGGGAACAAAAGTATGACTGGAATTCATGGAATTAAGTTAAACAAATGACAATTTGCTAAGGGATTACAGAGAAAAGCAAAAATAAAACTACTTGCATCAGTAATCACTCTTAGTTGTCTCAGAAAATCCATTCCATCTTTGATAGAAAAGGCATGCCACATCTTGACACACAGCACATTGTAATGGCCAGAATTTGTGTTGGTCTTTTGTGTTGATCATGAAAACTGTCAAAATGATTTAAGTGAACACTGTGACAGGAGAACCAACAGTTGGATATGAGATCTGTATGAGGAAAAACAAAGTTGGAGCCTTCTAAAATAAGTAGAACAAGTATGGAAGGTGTGGAGAGACTTGTTAAAAGGAGCTTTGTGAAAAATTTTAAAGTTTAGGATATCAAGCATCTTGAGTCTGCCTTTTAAAATTGTTGGATAATTTGTCTGGAAATGTTGCAGGTTTTTCTTGGAAGAAAAAATGTGAAACCGAAAGGATAATAGACTTTTTTTTTTTTTTTTTTTTTTGCCGGATGCCCAATTCTAGTAATTTATTGAATAATTTATACTTAAAATTCAATAAATCCTGATGACTCAACATTGTAAATATTTACAGTGTAGTAGAACTCTTAAAGTCTATTCTGAGGGTTTGATTGACCTATTGAGTTTGTGGGGCTGGACTTTCCTGGAAGAAGCACTTTAGGAAAGTTTGATGTTGAATAATTCGTGCACTTTGCAATTTGCTTTTATCCAGGCCTACCTGAGACATTTTTTTTTTTCCTAAAGGAGATTGCATCCGCTTTGATCTATTTATATTCTATTCAAGCTTGTTTGAAGATTTAGAACAGGAGACATATCTCCTTTTTTTTTTTTTTTTATAAAATTGTATTGTCTTTGGGCACTTGACTCTTAGATGTTGTATAATGATTTACTTTGCAAGTTGATAACTGAATGAGAATGGAAATGATGGAAGTAAAACACTATGAGTAAGGAAATCATTGTTTTAAAAATCTGTGATTGATAAAGCACATTAACATACTCCTTAAGGTTTCTGAATGAATGTGGGTAAATGAGACATAGTGTTAAAACAGGTTAGAGGAACCATTCCCTACAGTAATTAGAATTTCAGTTATATTTTTACAAAACGTGAGTTGATGTAAAAGCTATTTAAGGGAAGAATTCCATAATTACAAGGGTTTTTGTATCCAGTGGTTCTCCAAAGTGTGATCCTTAGTCCCAGTAATATCAGCATCACCTGGAATTTGTGTAAATTATCTAGATTGCTTTCTTATTCGTAAATTTAGAAATTATCTGCTTTCAGAGATACTCTGTGGTTGTTTTGTTTTATTGTTTATAACTGTTAAACCTGTGTAGACTTTATTTTAAAGCATAACATAAGGTAAAGAAATACTTACTCTTTATGTGAATAATGCTTTGGATTTTTATGTAAGCTCTGTCATTCTTAAAATAAAACTTTCAAGTTGTATTTGAAGAAAAGCACCATTGAAATCTATTTAGTTCTGTAAGCTAATGGTTCTTGAAGTTTAAGGACAATAAAAGTTGACAAAGAATCGTTCATGACAGTATATTTTTAGCAGTGAAACAATAATCTCATCTGAAAAAATCTAAACTTTCTCATTGGAGTTAAAAGTTCAAACAACATTTGTGATTATCTTTCTGTGAGTACAGACAAAGCATTTGTATTTTTTGGAAATAGCATTTATTCATGAAGAAAATGATGACAGAAATCTTTTTAAACAGTGAGAAACTTCTAGACTCTTCAGACAGCATCGGGTTTTGAAAAAGACTTGTGCTTTGGCAGGAACCCAGGAAAGGAAGTGTCTGCATCTGCTGCATTCTAGAAGCCTTCCCAAAATCACTGTATGGCAGCCAAGAAAGCAGGGCATTTCACTACTGTGTGGTTCTGGAAGTATCTGGAAGTTTGCAGCAAACTTGAGGGAGGAGATTTAGGAGTTCTTCCAGAATGTCATTTTTTGTGGTGATCTATTTTTATTGAGATTCAAGTTACAGGGAAAGTAGTGTTATTTTTCAGCTGGAATAGGGACCTTTCACTGTGGCCTCCACTCAGCCTGTTGGTTTAGGTAAATTCACACTGGAAATCAGAGGTGCCTATACAAAGAGAACAGTGTGACAAATTAGAATAACCAGTGGGAGCCTGTTACTGGGGCAAACAGTATTGTAATGGTGGTTTATTCTCCTGTAAGGTAATCAGAAGCATTTAAAGTTCATGTTTGGGTAGAGAAGGAGAGAGAGAAGAGTGGTGGTAGGACATCTGGGAAATCAAGTTAAAACCTTTATGTTGTTTAGTTGATATCCTCATCTGCTGTGTAGAATTTTCACTAGAAAAAACTGCTACCAGTGGCACAGAGAAACAGAAGGGCTTTGCTACCAGGATTAAAAAATAAAAAAATTCACAACTGTGAACTTTCTTTTCTTATTTTTAGGCATCATTGAGATATAATTCATATACCATACAATTCACCTACTTAATATTCATGATTCAGTACTATCAGAGTTATTTAATCATGTGTCCCTACATTTTCATTACCCCCAAATGCACAAGTTTTAATTGAATTTATTTAAAAATTTAAAACCATACAGAGAAAGATGGAACAAGTTAGGAATTTTCTTTCTTTCTTTTTTTTTTTTTGTGGTGCTGGGGATTGAACCCAGGGCCTTGTGCATGTGAGGCAAGCACTCTGCCAACTGAGCTATATCCCCAGCCCACAAGTTAGGAATTTTAAGGATTAATTAGAAAGCTCTGAAATTTTTTTCCTTTAAAACATATTCTGACATCTTTAAAATATATTGGCAATATCTAATAAAGCATATCTTCTGGGAATATCATGGTTTTTATCTATATCACAGAGAAAACATATCTTAGGTTATATGAAGAGCCACTGCTATTCAGCTACTCTGATTGTATTATTATGAAAAAAATTCAGATTAAATTTTTAAGCATAAGTTATCAGGTAATAAAAAAATGTAATTTTTTTCTCTAACATGAAATATCAAGGTAGTATTCTACATGAAAAATAAGAAGTTAACTATCATTAAATTATTTAATTAAATTATTATATCAATTTATAAGAATTTTTTCTTTTTCATTCTACTGTCTTTCCTATTCCTAGTCCTGCTCCCTTTTCCCCTTTGTTTAATCCACTGAGTTTATGATAATTAACATCAATTTGGGGTTAGAGCACTTGCCTTGCAAGTGTGAGACATTGAGTTTGATCTTCATCACTATATAAGAATAGATAAATAAAGGTATTATGTCCATTTACAGATTAAAAAAAATTCTTGGAATCTGGATTTAAACAACATTTAAATGGGAAAGATAAATAACATTTCCCTTCTTCCTCTTTTTTTTGCAATGGTTTTATTTCTCTTGCAGGTGTGTGAACCTGTAAAATTAAGTCTTCCAAGATGATCTGGTGTATTTTAATCATAGGGATTCTACTTCCCCAGTCTTTGGCCCATCCAGGCTTTTTTACTTCAATTGGTAAGTCTTAACTATATTTCGCATTTAAAATTTTCCATTTTTAAGTGTTTTTAAATTAGTAGAAACGTATACAGTGCAGTTCCATGATAAATATTCTGATTAGAAGCTTATGAAAATTTAGAAAAGCATGCCAAAGAAAATTACTGATTTTTTTATCTAGCAAATAATTTAATGCATATAGTCTTTTGATGCATAGATAAACAAATATCCTACATATTGTTTTCTAATCTTTTTCCATTAAAAATCTACTGTGAATACATTATTTTTCTGCATCATAATTTTTATAGATCTTATATAAAAGTATTATAAAAATAGCATATTGGTTAAAGTGGGGGGGAAAAAGTATAGTACACAGACTATAGTACATCTCCCCATGTCCCCTTGCTCCCAGAATAATTCCTTAGAGTTTGAAATGTATCCTTTTATATTTTCATGTATGTACTTTTAATTGCCTTAAATAAGGTGTTTGCCTTCATTCTGTTGACTTTTTGACCCTTATAGAATTGTAAGCTAAAATACAAATATTTATAATATTTGATTTCATCATATAAAATGATGAGTAATCTCAATCCCTTATAAATAACTAAAAATAGAATATTTGCAACCTTTTTAGTGTAGTTTCTGTTTAATTCTAGTCTTGAAAACAAAAGGTGAGGAAGGAAGTGATAAAAAGCAAACATTGATCCTTGGAAAGTAGTATTGTTTTGTAACAATTTTGTCAGTGAAAAGACAATGTGCCAACACAGACAAGGCTTGTAAAATTAAGTAGATTGAAAATTAAAATTGGAACACATGATTAGAATAAAGTTTGGGGCTTTATTTTGATTTATCTCCTTAATTTCTTTCTTTCTTTTCTTTTTTATCTTGCTGGGGATAGAACCCAGAGCCTCTCTCATATACTAGGCAAGTGCTATAAAAAGGGAAAAAATGATCCTCTCTAACCTATCTCATTTTATGCCAGTTAAATCTTCCCATAGAATGAAGCATTCTTAATCATTCTAAGCTTGTTCTAAAATATTGTGTAGATGGATATGAGCAAAACCTTCTTCTCCTCTTTCCTTTATAGGTCAGATGACTGATTTGATCCATACTGAGAAAGATCTGGTGACTTCTCTGAAAGATTATATTAAGGCCGAAGAGGACAAATTAGAACAAATAAAAAAGTAAGTAGTATGTTTTACTTATTAAGATTGACTCCAAACTGGGTGTGCTGGCGCACACTTATAATCCCAGTGGCTTGGAAGGCTAAGGCAAGAGGATCCAAGGTTCAAAGCCAGCCTCAGAAACTTAGCAAGGCTCTGTCTCAGAATAAAAAAGGATAGGGGATGTGGCTCAGTGGTTAAGCTCAGTGGTTCAATCCCTGGTACAAAACAAACAAACCTCCACCTGTATGTTTTCTTTTTTTAAGCTAAAACTTTGAGTAGAAATAAAAACCATCTTTGAGTTTTAGAAAACAAGTTAAAATGGCTAAAGCAAGAGTATAGTGAACAAGGGCTAAAGCCTGGGTCTGGGTTTATGTGGAAGAACATGGATTGAGATGAGGATATGATGGGTAATGAGGAATTGACTGACCATTTTTCAAAATGGTGCCAAATATTTTCAAAATATCATCTATCCTATTATTGCCCCAACCCCTAATGAAGCCACCTGGATAAAGTTCTCTTTATCCTTCATTCCTTCATTTTTGAGCCAATAGTGGTAAGTATAGTTAATATTATTTAATTGATGTAGTTTTTCTCAAATGCTAATTATCTTTAATTGACTCAGATTATAGTTAATCCTGACCTGAGAATTCCTGTTCTTTGTTCAATGAGTAGCTAAGTATTAAGGCTTTTGTTTAGTTTCTAGATATTGAATGTAAAACTCTGGCATTAGTTAAGCCAAGTTCAGTGGCTTACTTCCATAAACCCAGCTACTCCCGAGGCTGAGGTAGGACAGGAGGATTGCTTGGACCCAAGAGTTCTGGGTCAGCCTGGTCAACGTGGCAAGATGCCATCCCCACTCCACCCACCCACACAAAAAATTTTAGTGTAAGTTGATTTAAATGAACATGTTGCTGAATTTGGTTGAGCTTATCTGTACTTTGTAATCGTCAGTTATTTGGCCTTAAGGACCTATGGGAAAATGAATTTTTTTTTTTTTTTTTTTTTTGTACTAGAAGTATCAAATCTCGGCTTTTACTAAGGTAGGTTCTGTTTACTATTTGGAAAAAAACAGAACTAAACCATGAGGGCTAGGGTTGTGGCTCAGTGGTAGAGCACTTGCCTAGCATGTGAGGGCACTGGGTTCAATCCTCAGTGCTGCAAATAAATAAATAAACAAACATACAATATCGACAACAAAAAACTAAACCAAAAATCTTTTACAGTTATATTTTGATTCTGCCAAGTTGGATTTACCAATAAGAACATTTTACTTTTTAAAGAACCTTTATAATTTTACTTTAAAAACAAGTTTTTTGTTAATATTTTTAGTTGTAGATGGACTCAGTACTTTTATTTTATTTATGTGTGGCGCTGAGGATCTAACCCAGTTCCTCACATTGGCTAGGCAAGCACTATACCCCTGAGCTACAACCCCAGCCCAAAAAGAAGTTAATAGTTTTAAGCCTCTAGTCTCTATTTTCAAGTGCTACTAAATTGTGTTTTTCCTTATTTGACTGTGTGTATACTCCATTTTTATGTCTTAACATCTGTAGATGGGCAGAGAAGTTAGATCAGCTAACTAGCACAGCAACAAAAGATCCAGAAGGATTTGTTGGGCATCCTGTAAATGCATTCAAGTTAATGAAACGACTCAACACTGAGTGGAGTGAGTTGGAGAATCTGATCCTTAAAGATATGTCAGATGGTAAGTCTGAGGAATCTAATGAGGGAAAAAAAAAAGGGTAAGGCAATACTTTCACCACCTATAGAAATGCCAAAATTTGTGATAAATTCAGTTCCTAGAACATCAATGTTGTAAATGAAGTGAATTATTGCCCAACTCCATTTGGTTAGATCAGAGCTAATTTAGTCAAGATCCTGAATACTTTGATTTAAAAAATAGTAATTTATGCTACTAGTGACTAACACTGGTGATTTTGTTATGAAATCTACAGAAGTGAATAGATTATTTGGCAAATAGCATTTGGCATTTCTGAGGGTAATCGTTTATATTTAGGATTACTTTCAGACTTTAAAGATGTCTATATAAATTTTTATTTTCAATTCTTAAAATATCAGGAGTGGTATCGTAAAGAGAGTGTTAGTATGTTCTACCTATTATTCTGAGTTTAGGATTACTCTATTACTCAATATAGGCAATAAATTTAAAAACTGAGACTACAAACACCAATAATGAATAAGTCTTCCTAGTTGAAACAGTAAAATTGTAGTTGAAATTGTTCAGGTGTTTTAGATATTTTAGTAACAGAAAACTTAGTCTAGAATTGAAGGAGGTAAAGGGATTATGCCTAGTATACAGTTAGGGGCTCATATATTTGTTGAATGTAATAAGGTGGCCAAAAGAGGGAGCAAGAATGCTGAGCCAGCTGCAGAGATAAAATATTCTAAGCTGGGCATGGTGGCACATACCTGTAATCCCAGCAGCTTGGAGGTGGAGGCAGGAGGAGTGTGTGAGTTCAAAGCCAGCTAAGCAACTCAGTGAGACCCTGTCTCTAAATAAATTACAAAATAGGGCTGGGGATATGGCTCAGTGATTAAGTGCCCTTGAGTTCAATTCCCGGTACCCAGAAAAAAAGAAAAAAAAATTTCTAAGAGAGCTGGTCTCAAATAAAAATACTCCCAAGATAGCCAGGAATGGTGATGCACACCTGTAATCCTAGCATTTGGGAGACTGAGGCAGGAGAACCACAGGTTTGAGACCTGTTTAGGTAACTTAGAAAGACCTCATCTCAAAACAAAAAAACAAAAACAACCCCCCCCCCCCAAAAAAAAAACCAACCAAACAAAAAACCACCCAAAACACTAGGGATATAGCTCAGTGGTAGGATGCTACTGGGTCCCATCCCCAGTACCACCAAAAAAAAAAAACAAACCAAAAAATCCTCCAGGAGTACTTACCAGTGTTTTAGGCAATGAAGTAAACTATATTATTCCTTTCTTAGGCACAGCTTTACATTCTGCAGTTTTAGTTACTCATAGTTTAAGAATACTAGATGGAAAATTCCAGAAATAAACAGTTTTAAATTTTGTGCCTTTCTTAGTAGTGTGATTAAATCTCATGCTGTCATATCCTGTTCCATCTGGGATAGGAATCATAGCTTTGTCCAGTGTATCCATGCTATATATGCTACCCAACCTTAGTCACTTAGTAATTCTCTTGGTTACCAGTTCATTGTCACAGTATCATAGTGCTTTGTGTTCAGATAACCCTTATTTTACTTAATGATGACCTCAAAGTGCAAGAGTAGTGATGACAGTTTGGATGTGCCAAAGAGAAGACATAAAGTATTTTCTTTAAGTGAAAGTTATTTCTTTTAAGTGAAAGTTATTGACTTGATAGGAAAAAAATCATGTACTGAAGTTGAAAAAATTGCACACAAAATTACTAGGATCTATAGTAAAAATGAATTTTCCATGAAATTGTGAAGAAAAAGAAACATGGTTGTTTATAGTTGCATCTCAAACTACAAAAGTGTGATATCATAAGTACTTGTTAAGATAGAAAAAGCATTAAATTTGTGTGTATATGCATAGGAAAAACATAGTTTACATAGGTTTTGTATTATACATGATTTCAGGCAATATTCAGTCTTAGAATGTCTCTTTATGTTTAGGGGACTACTGTATTATGCAAAAGACCAGAAATCTTGAAAAGTAATTGCAAGTACTTATGAATACTTCACTATGAGGGGAAATGTCTGTGATTATTTTCTTTGCTATATATATAACACCATGAGAACATTAAAATTTTTTTTTTTTAGTTGTATATGGGCACTATCTTTATTTCATTTATTTTTATGTGGTGCTGAGGATCAAACGCAGTCCCTCACCGCATGTGAGGCAAGCACTTTACCTCTGAGTCACAACCCCAGCCCCATGAGAACATTTTGAAAGAAATAACACCCACCTATCTCTCTCCACCCCCCTCATTCTATGCATAACATGTTTACACAAACATAAACACACATATCATTCATTCTAAAGTAATGACCTGCACTATACAAGGCTGGAAAAGAAAATAATGACCTGTAGACTTTGGTGTTTTAATCTGTGGTAGTTATCCCATAATGTGCTACACACACACACACACACAAAACATTGTGATCTTCTGTAAGATTTGTGAAATTTGTCTGTAAAATTCCATGTGGAAATTGTTACTGAGGGATAGTTTCAAACTTTATATGAACTTTAGCCTTCTTCCAGCTAGTTGATATTTGTATATTTCCATTAACATAAAAATGCCTGATCTTTTGCTGACCAAAATACAAATAGTTGATTATAAGTTTTTTTTAAATATTTATTTTTTAGTTTTAGGTGGACACAATATCTTTATTTTTATATGGTGCTGAGAATCGAACCCAATGTCTCATGCAGGCTAAGCGAGAGCGCTACCACTTGAACTACATCCCCAGCCCCTGATTAAAAGTTAATAAGAGAGAAATCTCATACCTATTTTTTATTTACAATGATGACATTTACATTATAAAAATTTTAAACTCATTGTTTTTGGTTTTGATTTCTCAAAGAGTATTTAGCATCCATCCTTCTTAGGAGTTATATCATTATCAGTAATTGATTTGTTAGTTTGATTTTCGCTATTTTATTTATAAATCATCTTTAAATTAAGGTTTTATATATCAAATCTTGATTGATTATCACTGTATTTGATAATTTAACATTTCTAAATATATTTCGGTATACTAGCTTAACTGTTAATCTTAAATCTATAATTTTCTGTCCTCCAAAGAATCCCACTAAAATTTATGTTTACATGCTATATAACATGTGGTACATGGAAGAAAACAGAGCACAGATTTTTTAATAGCACAGATTTTACGTACCATCTGTTATCTGAAAGTTTTAATTTATTGCCAAGGTATATCCTTTGCAAATTCATAAATATTTCATTTCTGAAGCTTAATGGAGGCACTTTTTGTTTTCCAGGCTGGCTGGTATTGTATTGTTGTTTTCTTGCAATTATGTGTTAGTTGATCTTTATCTACTCATATAATTTGTGCAGTTACCTCAAATAAATTAACCTTAGAAGACATTGGGAAGGTCGAACAAATTAGGGATATGTCAAATCTCATTCAGTGTATTTAACGTTTTCTTGATGAACACGTGAAACATTCATAGAATGGTAGAAAATGATAAAATTTTAAAAATCCTTGTAAAGACTCTTAGAAGTCTGTGAGGTTGTACATATTTTTTAATCTCTTTTTTCCTATTTCAAGGCTTTATCTCTAACCTAACCATTCAGAGACAATACTTTCCTAATGATGAAGATCAGGTTGGGGCAGCCAAAGCTCTATTGCGTCTCCAGGACACTTACAATCTGGATACAGATACCATTTCAAAGGGAAATCTTCCAGGTAAGGTCATTCTTCCAGTCAATGTAATGTCTATCACCTGGTTGCTCTATTCAGTCCACTAGGATAATGTTAATTTAAAAAGACTTGTATTTTAAGATTTTAAACTTTAGTTTGTTTCATAACCTTTGAGAACAAAAGAACTGTCCCTTTTTCTAGGACTTAATAGTGGTGGATGTTCTTCTAGCTTGTTACTGGGAAAGCTTGTATTTATGGGAACTAACTTAAGTAGGCAATTTTAGTGTTTAGAAAAAGAAACAATCATATTTCTAGGTTAGAACATCTCTTACTAGAATGTTTTGTAAAACTGTAAGGGAATTGATAATCAAAGTTTATAGGCTTAATAATTAAGAGCCAAGATGTGTTGAGTATACACAGATGTTATGGAACATCCTGTTTTCTAACCTTTGTGGCAAAGCTCTCCTTTTTTAAAGTTATGTCTTATTTCATGATAATTTACTTTACTCACTTTTTCTTTCAGACAGAGGCTTGCTATGATTACTTTTTCCTGTCACTGTCATCTGAAAAAAATAAATATGTTGCCTCTGTTCATACTGAAATTGGTTTTCTCAGGAAGGAAAAAACAATGGGATGAGTCGTTTGTCAAGATGCTTTGTACCCAAGTCATTGGCACACTCCTGTAATCCCAGTGCCTCAGGAGGCTGAGGCAGGAGGATCATGAGTTCAGAGCCAGCCTCAGCAACAGGCACTAAGCAACTCAGTGAGACCCTGTTTCTAAATAAAATACAAAATAGTCTGGGGATGTGGCTTAGTGGTTGAGCGTCGCTGAGTTCAATCTCCAGTACCAAAAAAAAAAAAAGTTATTTCTCTTGCTTCATTTGGGATAAAAGTATCAAGTGGTAAAGCTAAACATGGTATAATATTAAATAAAATTTGTTAAACTGGAATATAATTCCATTAACTCAAATTCCCCAAAATGTACAAAATTGCAAATTTATTTGTTTCTGCTAATACTATATATTGTAACACTTTCAATAAGATTATAACTTTATTTTTAAAAATCGACTTCTGAAGGACTAGGGATGTAGCTCAGTGATAGAGTGCTTGACTAGCATATACAAGATCCTGGGTTTGATCCCCAGCACTGCCCCCCCCAAAAAAGTTCTGGTTTAAAATGCCACATTTAATAGACATTAATTATTTAATATGTACCAGCTACTATGTTAGGAACTAAGCATACATAATGAACAAGAAAGAATTCTACCTTTGCCTTTCAGGGTGCTTATATTTTCAAGATATACTACAGTGAATACATATACTACAGTAAATGCATACCATGGCAGCACATAACTGGAAACCTAATTCTGGACTTGATAAGGAGGGTTAAGGAAGACTTCCTGGAGAAGACAACATTTTAAAAATTGAAATCTAACTGGGTGTGGGGGTGCACGCCTCTAATCCCAGTGGCTTGGGATGTTGAGGCAGGAGGATTATGAGTTCAAAGCCAGACTCAGCAACTTAGCAAGGCCCTTTTCTAAATAAAATATAAAAAGGCTGGGGATAAATACCCCTGGGTTCAATTCATGGTGCCCCCTCTCCCCCACCAAAAAAGAGATCTAATGGACAAAGCATTAGCCATGAAAATGGAAGAGGAAGGCAGAAGTGGTCATACCGAGGAAAAGTGTTCCATTCTGAGGGAATATACACAAAGGCTGAAAAGTCGAGCATGTCATATTCAGATAACTAACAAATTTGTATGGTTTAACAACATGAGTTTAAGTCATGAGTGCATGAGGTGATTGTATTGTAACAATAAATTAGGATCTTTTTGTTGGTTTTTTTGTACTGGGGATTGAACCCAGGGACTCCTTTACTACAGAGCTATTTCCAGCCTTTTTTATTTTTATTTTTATTTTGAGAGAGTCTCAAAATATTCAGTCTGATACTTATATTAATAAGTCATCAATGCCTCTTCCTTTGAACCAAAGGAATTTACAATTAATTTTTTATAGGCCTGATTCCAACTATTACCCTTTGTATGAAAGTTTTTTTTTTTTAATTTTTTTTCAGTTGTTGATAGACCTTTATTTTATTTATTTATATGCAGTGCTGAGAAGTGAACCCAGTGCCTCACACATGCCAGGCAAGTACACTACTGCTGAGCCCCAGCCCCAAGATTTTTTTTTTTTTAAGATGGACACAATTGAACCCAGTGCCTGAGGATCGAACCCAGTGCCTTATGTGTGAGGCAGACATTTTACCGCTGAGCTATAACCCCAGCCCCTATATGAAAGCATTTTAAGGTCTGTTTTTGGCTGTATAACTTTGCTCATTTCATTTTTTCTCATTGTCGAGCCTATTTCTACCCCCATATTTACTACTTTGCAATGTCTTCTACTTTCAAAGCTGCACATAATTTATTTTCTTCTTTTAAGAATCTGATTCCTAGTTTCCTTTAATAATGGTAACTAGATCAAAAATAAGACCAGCAGAGGTACTTCACTAAAGCCTATGCTCTTAATTATGTTTGTTCAAGTAACATAGCCAAAGTGTTAGGTCACATAAAAAATATTACTGATGCTACCTGCATGTATTGATGGTGTACTGTTCTCATACATGTTTTGCATATCCCTGAAACACTCATAATTGCTATACTATGCATCACCAGTTCTCAGAAATAAAAAATCATAGGGAAGCCAAAATTTAATATACTTGTTTTAGTTTTTGGAATTATGTCATGTTAAACTGCCGAGTTAGTTTCTTAGTGTCTGCTGTGGTTTGAATGTGTTCCCTCCAAAATTCAGGTGTTGAAACTTAATGGCTGTTAGTCGATTTTCCATCACTGTGACAAAATACCTGAGAAAACCAATTTAAAGGCAAAAAGATATATTTTGGTTCATGGTTTCAGTCCATGGTCGCTTGGCCTGTTGCTTTTAGACCTGTGGCAAGGCAGTACATCATGGCAGAAGTATGTAGTGCAGAAAAGCTGCCTACGTAGTAGCTGAGAAGCAGAGGGAAGGAAGGAAAGGAAGGGGCTGAGGACAAAATATATCCTTCAAAGACACTCCCCCAGTGACCTACTTCCTCCAACTCGGCCCCATCTCCTAAAGTTTCTACCACTTCCCAATAGTCTGTTAACCTATAAATCCATTGATGAGGTTAGAGCTCTTAGGAGGCAATCATCTGTTAAATGCCTCACCTCTGAACACTGCTACTTTGGGGACAAGCTTTAAAAACATGAGCTTTTGTGGGACATTTTAAATCCAAACCATAGCAATTGCCAATGAAATGGGGCCTTTAGGAATCAGTCCATGAGGGCTTCTCCCTTATGAACAGGATTAAGACCTTTATAAAAGAAGCTGCAGTATTCAGCTCTATTTTCCTTTCGCCTTCTGCCATGTGAGAGACAGCATTCTTCCCCTCTGGAGGATGTAGCAACAAGGTGCCATCTTAAAGTGGAGAGCAGCCCTCACCAGACAACCAAACCTGCTGGCACCTTGACCTTGGACTTCCCAACCTCCAGAATTGTGAGAAAATAAATTTCTGTTCTTTATAAATTACCCAGTCACCAGTATTTTGCTACAGCAACACAGATGGCCAAAGATAGAGTATTCCAGAGTGGAGGGTGGTAAGGTAAAGAATTAGTTAAGGGGAAAAACATCAAAACATGGAACTTCATCTTCATTTTGGGAGTACACTAATAATCAGTTATTAAGCGTAAGTGATTAGCTTGGCTTTCTCCTTTTTTATTATTTACAATTCTTTTATTATAGAAAATATCAAACATCACTCATGTGCACATGTAAGTGCACACTCTTGCTCTTTCTCACACACACGCCTCCCACAATAAAGATGGTAACATAATGAGCCTCGTGTATCCATCATAGAGCTCCAAAGGTTCTTTTTTTATTTTTTGGTAGTTGTGTATGGACAGAACGCTTTTATTTTATTTGTTTATTTTTATATGGATCGAACCCAGGGCCTCACACATGCTGGGCAAGCTTTCTGCCATTGAGCTACAGCCCCAGCCCCCCAAAGGTTCTTAATATTTTGGTATTTTATCTGTTTCCTTCACTCCTCCTTTTTGTTGTTTTTGCTGGAATATTTTAAAAACAAATCCTAGACATTTCTGTTATTTTATTCACAAATAATTCAGTATGCATATTTTAACTGTTCAGATTTTTTAAAAAACTTACATAACTACTTAGCTATTATCCTGCATAACAAAATGGATACTATTCCCTTAATAATTTAATACCTAGTCAATATTCAATTTCTGTGATGATCTCAAAGATATCTTTTTATAGTTGGAGTTTTGGGTTAAATTTCTCTTTTCTTTTTCTAATTCTTCATGCTATTGATAAGTATGGAAAATATGGACATATGTTCTATGGAATGTCCCACATCCTGGAATTGGCTGATTTCTTCTTTGGTGGTTTTAAACTTCTTTTTCTAACTCTCCTTTCCTATAAACTGGTTAGAGCTTGAGGCTTGGTTACATTCAGTTTAGGTTTATTTCACTAATTCCATAAGTGGCGCTGTGAACTTTCTATTGAATTATCTGAATGGACACCTAATGTCTCCTGCACTTTTTGTGATGCTGATTGATGAGAAGCTTCAGGTACTGAGAGCCTGATCCTTCCATATAATGTTTTTCTGAGTTTTATCTCATGGTTTTTGGAGCTTTGATCATCATTGCCTAGAGCCACTATTTCATTCAGGGTTACAAAATGGTGATTTTCCTCATTTCATCTACTTTGATTAGCTGGAATTCTGTAATAACAAGAACATTCCTCTTTATCAGTTTTTAGCATAATTAGCTGATATCCTAATAACTTTTGTTAGTGACCAGTGATCTTCATCTAAAATATCATGAACTCATTTTTATATGTAGTATTTTTTAAATTTCAGTCTGTTTTATTCATTGAATCAGATTACCTTATTTTGCCAATGTGAATTTCTTCAGATTAGCTTGTCATCTCATTTTGTCTTTTTGAAATGATCATATTCTTTGATAGCTAGGAAACTTTCTTACTTTTGGGCATAGTTTTTTCCAAGTTTATCTTATAAATTCTATTCCAAAGCTGGAATCAGGCTTTTCAACAACCCTTGATTCCTTTTAACAGGGAATAGCACTTAAGGAACAGACTAGCTAGGTTCTAGGGGTGTTTATTTCTGTTTGTCATTTATTCCGGGTCTTTTTAATGAACAGAGATGGGACATATGTGGATTCATATTAGTTCTGATTCAAATTAAAGATTACAGGGCTTGTATCTCCTTTCTCTAGTGAAAATTTTGATTCCTAATGACATTAACTTAATCACTTCTTTGTATTACCTATAATATGCTCAAAATAATATCAGAGGATAATAATGCCTTTGCTGTTAATAACATTGACTACTCACTGCAGTATTTTTTGTACTACTTATTAATTTTGGTATTGGGATGAACTGGGGATGCTTAACCATTGAGTCATATCCTCAACCCTTTTTATTTTTGAGACACATTCTTCATAAGTTGCTGACTTAAACTTTGCAATCTTCCTGCCATAGCCTCCCAAGTCTCTGGGATTAGAGGCATGTACCACTACAGCTGTTTTTTTTTTTTTTTAATATTTTTTAGTTGTCAGTGACCTTTATTTTATTATTGATATGCGGTGCTGAGAATTGAAGTGCTTCACACATGCTAGGCAAGCACTCTACCACTGAGCCACAACCCCAGTCCATGGCTTTTTTTTTTTTTTTTTTTAAATCCTTAGTATATATACCACACCAGTTATGAAAAGTCAAAATATTACCTTGAAGACACCTAAAATAATTAATTGCTCTGTGTTGTCTGCCTTCAACATGTTTTACAGTTGGGTTCAATCAGTGTTTTATTCTTTATTTTTAAGGATTATTGACCTTTCCCTTTAATTATATAAAACTTTCATATTCTTTAATCTCCCAATCTATACTAATAAAGCACATTTATAGAAATCTCACTTTAATTTCTGTACTCTTCATCTTACTCCCTTTGTTTTCCTGTGTGTAACCATTTTATGTTTTCTTAAAGTATTGAAATAGAAAAACTAAGTATACATATTCCTATTTCCTCTTGACATATGCACAAAAGGTAACACAGTTAACATTTATACAAAAGGAAGTATATTGTGAATACTGTTCTGTACTTTGGTATTTTAACTTATATTTCCTAAATATTACTTTATATTCTAAAAATATCTTCACTTCACTTTACAGCTGCTATTCACGTTACTCTCTTGTGGAGGTTCCACAGTTTATTTAACCACACCCCTATTGATGAAAATCTGGTTTATTTGCAGTCCTTTCCTGCTAAAAAAAAATAATGCTGCTAGTAACCTCGTTAGTAGGCTATTTTCTGTTTTTGCTAACTAGTCTTTACAGATATTTTTCTTGAAGGGGTACCACTGATTCAGAGTAAATAAATAATTTTGCTAATATTGTCCCCATACACTCCATAGGGTTTGTATCAATTTGCATTTCTGCCAGTAGTATATGACCCTTTTCCCAAAAGATATTGTGAAACTTTGATATTTTTGCCAATTTGTTAGTTTAATTTAGATTGGCTCATATGTATGCCAGTTTCTTTGTTAATCATTCTTGTACCTCAAACTTTTCTTTTGAGCAAATTTTTCTCCTTCTTGAAATACATCCTTAATAAACCTTTGTATATATGTTATTCATTTGGTGAGCAATTCATTGTGCTTCCTGAACCTAAAGTTTCAGGTGTTTTAACTCTGGAAAAATTTCTACCACTCTGTCTTTAATGTCTCCACATATTATCTCCTGTTTTTTTTTTTCTGGAACTCTAAGTAGACTTTATTTTTTATTCCTTGTGTTTTAAAACTAGCACTTCATTTCTCTTTCTCTCTCTGTTGTATTCTGACTAGTTTAATCACATGCTGAGTTATTTAGCTCTTCTAGTTTCATCATTCTCTTTGTAGTTATATGTGGTCCACTATTTAATCTGTCCAGTGAGTTTTTAATAGCATTGATTATACAGGTTGAGTAACCCCTATCTGAAATAAGTTCAAACCAGAAATTGGGACCAGAAGTATTTGAGATTTTGGAGTTTTTCAGATTCTGGAATATTTGGATGCATATAATAAGATATCTTAGGATAGATCCTAAGTCTAAACAAAAAAAAATTCATTTATGTTTAATAAACCTTTTATACATATAGCCTGAAGATAATTTCACACAACTTTTTAGTGCGCCTGCACTTTGTGACCTGTTATATAAGGACAGGTGTCGGATTTCTCACTATGGTGTTGTGTCAGTGCTTAGAATGTTTCAGATTTTGAAGCATTTCTTTCAGATTAGGGATACTCAACTTGTACTTAACAACTGGAAGTTACCACCTCACCCCACTTAAATTTGCCTGGTCCTTTGTAGGCTACTATATTAGGCAGCTTTATATTAATATAACAAAAATACCTAAGGCAATTAACTTAAAAGGTTTATTTTGGCTCACAGTTTTGGAGGTTCCAATCTAGCATCAGGTAGACCCCATTGCTTTGGACTTCTGGTGGGAGTGTTAGATGGCTATGGTGGGGAAAAGTAAACTGTTTACCTCATAAGCTAGGAAGCAAAGAGGAAAGGGCCAGGGTCCCACAGTCTCCTTCACAGATATTTCCCCAAAGCTCCCCAAAGTTTCCACCACCTCCCTATTGCCAATCTAGGGACCAACCCTAAACACATGGACCTTTGGGAGACATTTAACATCCAAATGTCAGCAGGTATCTTTATCATTCACATAATTTATTCGAACATTTTAATCAGTTATTTTATATTCTTAATCTCTAATATATGAAGATCTTGGGGTATATCTAGTGCTTTTTTATAATTTCTGATTTTATTCATAATGGCTTATAATGTATTTTGCCGTTTTGGATTGTGTGTGTTCATTCTGCGTCACCTGTAGGAATATTGCAAAGCTTGGGAAAAGGGTACATTTTGCAGAGTATAAATGTTGCTAGATGTCCTATAACATTGCCAACTCAGATCATGTTAATTTTTTTGCTTTAGTTTTTCAGACCATGCAGGCAATATAAATTTGAAATTAAAACCTCCCTTAGGATATGCCTATGGAATTCTATAGGGGATATTTTCTCTCACTTATAGTATACAAACAGTTTCAAACAGATTGTGATGATTGTTGCATTATTCTATATATTCTAAGAGCTGTTGTAATCTAAGTGGGTAGACCATGATTTTTAAATTATATATAATTAATGCCATTTTTTAAAAAGCAAACATTTTACAGGATTGCCTCTTTTACTGTAATTCATCTCTTGCCCAGATTGTTGGTTAAGAATAAGATAGATACATCTCATGGTTATTGCTGTGTGTTAGAGAAGAGTATATTTCAACTTCAGTGATGTTTCATTTGGGTATAATGGCTGATGATTTAAATCTTGGGTTCTTTAAGTGCTGTGTCCTCTTTTACCAGCAGTGTATTCTCTATCATTCTATATTACCTTGTAAATTGTTCCTTTGTTATAAAATTAGGATAAATTTTGCCTTTTTTACCTCAGGATTATTGTAAAGTTAAATCGCACTTTGAAAGCTCTGTGGTCCTAAATAAAATTTAAAGTAATGTAAAGATTCCTAAAGTTCTCTATTTTTTTTCTTTCATAGGAGTAAAACACAAATCTTTTCTAACAGCTGAGGACTGCTTTGAGTTGGGCAAAGTGGCCTATACAGAGGCAGATTATTACCATACAGAACTATGGATGGATCAAGCACTAAGGCAGCTGGATGAAGGCGAGGTTTCTACCATAGATAAAGTCTCTGTTCTGGATTATTTGAGCTATGCAGTATACCAGCAGGGAGATCTGGATAAGGCTCTTTTGCTCACAAAGAAGCTTCTTGAACTAGGTATGTTATCCATGTGTAACTTAAGGTTATAATTATATTGGGTTGGGGATATATATCATCTGTGTATGTATGTAAGTATCTACCCATTCACTCATCGATATATCTTTGGTGCTTTTTTATTTATTAGAATTCAAGAGCCATATCTGTTAGATACACTTTATCCTCTCACTGTTAATTCTCAAAGTAAATGGCAACCAGTTTTTCTCACCTAATAGTACTACAACAGTGGCTGTGTTCCTCTGCTCTATATTTTCCAGGAATTTCAAAACCAAATCTTGTCTAATTTAGTCAAAAATATTTATTCATCACATTGTGCTAAGTGAAATAAGCCAGATTCAAATCAGGTGTTGAATGCTTTTTCTCATATGTAGAAGCTAGAGAGAAAAAGGAATATAAATGAGGAATCTCATAAAAATAGAAGGGAGAAGAATAGAGTAGAGGAAGGTGATCAAGGAGGAAGGTAAGGGGAGGTGCTGGTGAATGAAATCATCAAATTATGTGTATGTATGAACATATCACAGTGAACTCCACTATAATTTATAATTATAATGCACCAATAAAAATATAATTAAAAATGTTTATTTACCATGTTGCCATATTACATGTTAATGAGTTTCCTTTGAAGAGTGTTATCAGTTTGTTGAATTTCATATTCAGATATTAGAAAAATAAGACCAGTGTGCTAGTGCATGTCTGTAATCCCAGCAATTTAAGAGGTTAGGCAGGAGGATTTAAATTCAAGCCCAGCTAGGCAACTTAGAACTTATCTCAAAATAAACCAGTCAGAAGGACTAGGTATATAGCTTGGTGGTAGATCATCCCTGGTTTCAGTCACCTCTACTTAAAAAAAAAAAAAATTACATTTTATGAGAATTTTACCACTAGCACTTTCTACAGAGATGTATTCTTTCTGCAAGTATGGTCCAGGGACCATGAACACTATATGGTCTAGTACTAGAATTACTTGGACACTTGTTAGAAATGAAAATTCCTTATTTATGTATTTATTTAGTTTAGATGGATACAATATTTTATTTTTATGTGGTGCTGAGGATTGAATCCAGTGCCTCACATGTGCTGGGAAGTGCTCTAACACTGAGCTACACCCCCAGCCCCCATAATTTCTTAATTTATACTTGATCTGCTCAATCATAATATCTGGATATGGAGTCCAGAATTTATATAACAATTGCAGGAAGTCTTTGGTATATAATGAAGTTCTTTGTTTTTTTGCCGTACTGGAGATGGAATCCAGGGCACTCTTCGTTAAAGTACATCCCCACCCTTTTTGTTCTTTATTTTAAGACAGGGTCTTACTAAATGAGCTGGATGAGCCTTGAACTGGGATGACAGGCATGTGCCAGTGTACCTGGCTATAATGAAGATTTAAAACTTTGTAAAAATTTATTTTGTGAATAGGAATATTTGTATATGTTAGGAAAAAAGTCAAATAGATATTAGTTCAATTATCCTTTCCTTTTCTTTCAGTGTCTTTCAGTGAATTTCCTCCTGAATTAAAACATACTTTGTACTCATTGTAGAAAATTAAAATAGAAAAATATATAGAAGAATCATCCATGAGCCAGTTACCCAAAGATACACACAAATTTTCAATGTAGTATATACTCCTCTGCACATAATACACACTTTTCCATTTTACAAAAAATAGGCTTTTATAGTATATCATGACATATATTGTGAGTGGTTTCTGAAGGACAGAAATATTATACAGTCTAGTACTAGATTTTTCTAAACACCTCATGAAGTCTCTACTTACCATTCTGCATTTTTTTAAATCTGTGTATAGTAGTAGTTTAGATTGCTTTGATTTTTCCCCCCACTTTCCCCAGATGGGTGGTATGTTTCTTTTCTTCCTCTTTACTGAAAGGTAGCTAAAATTATCACTAGCAATTCTGAGGCAGTTAGTGGATTCTGGCTTATTTGAGAATTATCTTTAGTTTCTAAAGAATTATCTTTAGTTTCCTTTTTCCTTCTTACTTAGAAAGTTGGGACTGTAATCCACTTAGCCCTCAGATGTAGACTGTGTTCTGCATTAATAATATATCTGTGGAAAAATTTGCTTTTCAACCATGTATGCTTTGTCTTCACCATAGTGATTACTTTTCAGTCTTAGAAAGATCTTTTCCAATTCTTCAAATAAATAAAATGAGTAAGATTTCAAGATTCATTTGACATCAAGTTGAACATAGTTCGTTTAGCTGATTAGTAAGTTCTCAAAGTAGAAGCAATAATTGCTACCTTGAATAAAAGGCTGTTTCCAACTGTTTTTACATAGTATGATTGTATATCATTTACTTGGCACAGTACTATTTTATATCTATTCTTACAATATAATAATTTTTATTCCTCCTTTAAATCATCTTAGTTTGGAAGATAAATTATATGGTCTGTTATATTTATGTTACTGTATTCTGATGCTTGAACAACTGTAAATTTACCCATGGACATGCTTTATTTCTCTTGTAATAAATAGATCCTGAACATCAGAGAGCTAATGGTAACTTAAAATATTTTGAGTATATAATGGCTAAAGAAAAAGATGTCAATAAGTCTGCTTCAGATGAGCAGTCTGATCAGAAAACCACAATGAAGAAAAAAGGGATTGCTGTGGATTACCTGCCAGAGAGACAGAAGTACGAAATGCTGTGCCGTGGGGAGGGTATCAAAATGGTAAAGTGGAAAAGTCAATTGTGTATGTAAGAGAATGTGTGTGTGTATGTATGTACATTGTGCAAGAGAGAGCCAGAGTTCTTTTAAGTCTGAGATAAAATTCAGAATGACTGTGTAAAATATTATAGTATGCCACATTACCTTGCTGTGGATGTTACACTATTATATGCTCCAGTTGTTGGTAAAACATAAAACTTGTGGATCATATTCCATTATATGCATTTGTGGTAATATTACATTTTCACAGGTCAAAAGAGGCTTATAGGGTGAAGGATCAAATAATTTTAAGGAAAGTGAAATATTTTCTTATATTTAAAGCAGAAAAGATTTCAGCCATCTTATGTTGAAATTATAATCTGATTTTATGAGACATAAAGATTCATTTGTACAATAATCTCTTGTAGTTTTGATCCTATTTAATCTTAAAAAGATTCCTTTGTGAAATATTTTAGTCTATTTAAGAAATACTTAAAACAGACATTTGACAGATTTATTTTAATATTTACTCTTTAAGAGGCCCAAATATATCTATAAATTTTCCTTTATTTATTGTATATTGATTTTTATGTATTTAGAACTCAAAATGCCAGCTCTTTAGGATATCAATAGATTTTGGGGCCCAAACCAAAAATGTTCCAAGGAACATCAGTTGAACAAAATTGAACATAGGTTTTTGTTTAGCCTGAGGACTTCTCAGAAACTTTTTACAATAACTTGCATTATTATAAATTTAATATACATTATCAAAATTAATTGATCATGGGAACTTCTTTTAAGTAGTGGTGTTCAGTTGAAAAATAATTAGTGAATTTTTAGAGAAAGGGTAGACTTCTGAAAGATGTTTGAATTTTTCTTGACTGTAACAAACTCAAACTGATCCAAACTTTAACAGTGTGTATCTTTTAAAGATAAGGATTCAGAATAAGGTCATGATCACACCTTAAAAAATAAATTACAATAGTTCTATAAAATCATCAAATTTCCAACAGTAAGCAGACTTTTTTATTGCCCTTAATAACCTTTGCATAAGAGAGCTAAATAGAATTATAGGTAGAAAACAGGAGCCTACTGATTTAGTAGTTTAATGTAACAAATACACGTAGACTTTGCCCACAAAGGAGCATCTGTTTTATCAAATGGTTAATTCATTTCATTGTTAGAGACTTCTTTAAAGGGGGGGTTGTAGTTCAGTGTTGGGATGCTTGTCTAGCCGTGTAAGGCCCTTCATTAATGTATAGATTTTTTTTAAGTTTTTTTTTGTTGTTGTTGTTGGACACAGTACCTTTAATTAATTAATTTATTTATTTATTTGGTGCTGAGGATCAAACCCACTGCTTCACATGTGCTAGGCAAGCACTCGCTAGGCAAGCACTCTACCACTGAGCTACAACCCCAGCCCCTAAGGTATAGATGTTTGATGACAGCTATATTTTATGCCCCCTAATAAAAGCACCTGGCTTCTTTAATAACTTGTTTTCTCTTTTACAGAATGGCCCAGTTTCACCTTTGTAGTTTAAATATTATTATTATTATTATTATTATTATTATTACCACTACAAGCATTTAATTGTGAAGTATTTAGGAAAACCTGTTTGGTTTTGTCCCTTTTCTTCTAGGTATTTTCTCACTTTCTGTGTACTTTCCAGTTTTTTTTTTTTTTTTTTTTTGCTACCAGGGTTGCTTAACCAATGAGCCACATTCCCAGTCCAACCCTACCCCAACCCACCCCCAACCTTTTTTTTTCTTAAATACCTTTTATTTTATTTATTTATTTTTATATGGTGCTGAGGATCGAACCCAGGGCCTCACACATGCTAGATGAGTGCTCTCCGCTGAGCCACAATCCTAGCCCCACCCACATACCTTTTTAACATATATTTTTAGTTGTTGATGGACCTTTATTTTATTATTTATATGCAGTGCTGATGATTGAACCTAGTGCCTCACACATGGAAGCAATTACTTTATCATTGAGCCACAACCCCAGCCCTCCCCCAGCCCTTTTTATATTTTATTTTGAGAGGGTCTGGCTAAATTGCTGAGACTGGCTTTGAACTCATGATCCTTCTGCTTCAGCCTCCTGAGCTGCTGGGATTACAGGCATGTTCCACGCGCACAGACCCAGTTACTTTTTGAAGTCTGGAACAGTGGTGGCATTCATTTCATATTTCCATAAACATTTCCTTGTTTCTTTCATATTTGTAATTTTGAACTTTATTTTGATGAGGAATTGTTAAAACCCTACTTTTTTTCCTATTTACACTCATATCTCCCCCAAGAAAATAATCATTAATAAATTTTAAGTCCTGAAAGTCTTTTTTAAAAAATATTTTTCTCTTAGTTGTTGATAGATCTTTATTTTATTTATTTATATGTGGTGCTGAGAATTGAACCCAGTGCCTCACACATTTAAGGCAAGTGCACTACTGCTGAGCCACAGACGCAGCCCTGAAAGTCCTTTTTGATGCAAAGTATTTGCAGAGTACTTTGTGTATTTTTCCAGAGATACTCTTATGTATATGTGAAGGAATAGCTATTTAAAATATTACCAAATATAATATACTTAGCATTTTTTTTAACTTTATGTTTAGACTCCTCGCAGACAAAAAAAGCTGTTTTGCCGCTACCATGATGGAAACCGGAATCCTAAATTTATTCTGGCTCCCGCCAAACAAGAGGATGAGTGGGACAAACCTCGTATTATTCGTTTCCATGATATTATTTCTGATGCAGAAATTGAAATCGTCAAAGATCTAGCAAAACCCAGGGTAAATTCTTTTTCTTTTTTTCTCCTCAGTTTACTGTACCTGCCTATAATTTTTCCTTTGTAAGATAATAGAAAGGATAATTGATAAGGCAATAACTTCACAGATAGTTTTAGATATTATCACTTAAACATAATGGAGTTGTTAATTATGCTCTATGTATACCAGTTTTTCTGTTATCAAAACAAGTAATTCTGAAACTGAATTATGAAAATTATAGATGAGATTTTTATTCACACTGTTCACACTTAACAAATCTCTTTCACTGTCTTACTGAAGAACTTTTCCATATATTTTGTAGTCTTAATAACTGCAGAGGTCAAAACTTAACTTTTAAAAATATCTTCTTTTTAAAAAAAAAGACTTTTGAAATATTTTCATTCCCTTTTAGACACATTAATACCAGAAAAATATAATTGGGCACAAGAATCATGCTAATTTTTAAAGGTTGACATCATAGTTTTTTGACTTTAACCTATCTTGATAAGAAAAATAATTTAACATAGGTTAAAACCCAGTCCTACAAACTATTCAGAATAGAAGTTCTTTTTTTGTGTGATAATGTGGGAAAGGATAGCCTTTATGCTCTCGCCTTTTTTTTTTTTTTTTTTTTTTTTATCAGCTTGCTCTTAAAACAGTTCATCTTATTGATAGTAAACTACAAACTGCTGTCAGTTTCAGAAAGATTTTGTTAAATCGTGGGCATATTTTTATTTACTTGTTTACACAGGGATTGGTGAATTTTTTTTCTGTAACGGTCAAGATAGAAAATACTTTTTAGGCCTTATAGGCAACTCAACTTTGTCATTGCAGTGTAAAAACAGCCAAAGAAAATATATAAAGTGTGGCTTTAAAATACATGAATGTGGTTATATTACAAGAAAATTTTATTTCTAAAAATAAAATTGCTCACCCCTGTTATATCATAAAGGTAATTATGTGGGTATGTGTACTGCAAAATTAACTTTGAATTTTTTAAGTTTGATTACTTTTCCAAATTGGTATTTTTTAGTCAGAGATTACATTGTAACTGAAATGACTGGTCTCATGCAGATGGGCACTCTCCACTGAAATTTTTATAAATCTATCAAAATGCTACTTATAACTACATCATATTCTGTTATTTTCTTCCTATTTTAGTCCTTTATTTGTGGTCAGTAAACTTAGTTTACTAAATTATCTTGGTAGAATATTAAGAATTCATCTCTGGATTTGAAGGCTCTGTATTCAGAGATTCCGTAGTTTGGATTTTTTTTAATAATAAAATTTCATACTCTTTTGTTAACCTCAGAAACACCCTTTTATTTTAAAAAAAGAAGTTTGAGATAATAGTCTATGGCCATGCCACCCTGAATGCACCCGATCTCGTCTGAAATAATATCTTGGCTGTCATCTTTTATGAGTTCTTTTCATCTGCCTTTCTCCTCAGTCCAAAATTATTTCACTGTATATGTTAAGTGGATGTCTTGAAGGAGGAAAGATTGACCTTAAAATGAATTCTAAACAGTATTAGTGTTTGTAAATAGTTCTGTCACTAAAAATTAAAATCAGAGAATTTGGAATAGATCACTAATTGTAAATAGCCATTCTTATAGCTTTAAGTTATGCTTTAAATTTTAGAAATTTCTCTTTTCCTCACTGTCAGATCCTCTAACCATTGAAAGAAATTTATATTCCAATCTCTTTTGTAATCCTTTATTCATACAACATAAAAGCACATAAAATAATAATTTTTTTAAAAAAATACAAAATCCTAAGAAACCAACTGACTTTCACTGCTCAACACAAGGTGAATGGAAGTGTATGGAGTTATTTCCTCTACTTACTCTCCTTTCAAAACAAAACACCAGAATTCTGACTGGTTGGATAAATGTGATTCATTTTTTGTCTTGTAATGCAATTGTTTTGATGGTTGGCTTCACAGCTGAGGCGAGCCACCATTTCAAACCCAATAACAGGAGACTTGGAGACGGTACATTACAGAATTAGCAAAAGGTAAGAGATGTGTATGCTGCATATTTTGCCCTCTAATGAGTGTTTTGTACATCCTACAGGAATTTTTATTCATTTAAGGGAAATAGGTCATTTTCAGTCTCCAGCTCAAGTTGCCACCTTATATATAAACAGGATAACACACAGATAAACTGCTCTGTGTTTCACAGGCTTTTCCCTTTAACTAGAAGTTCTCTTTTCAATTGTTAGTTGTTTTGTTATGTTTAGGGAATTAGTAGCTTTGTATCTTAAGATCAGGTATCAAATATCCAGGAAATGGCCTGATACTTGTTTTCTTTTCCCCACTTTGCTGCTTTTTCTTTATTTCCTTCATTAGCAGCCTGGTTAATCTGGGAATAGACTTTGCTTATGCATTTCTCTGGCATTCCTAAGTGCTGCAGTGATTCACATCATCTTTCATGGTGATTGTGTTGGCATTTACCCTTACATCTTATAAAGATTACTTTGTCATTACAAAGTAATGTATTTCTCCTGTTGGAGTATTTTGTTTAAAAAAAAAAAAATTGCTGACTCAAAAGTTGGCAATGGAAAGAACAGAGTTATGCTTCTGAACTCAAGCTTCCAAAAATTACTTCTGAACTTAATTGCCTTTTACTTTGCAGAGACAGTGAAAAACAGTTATCTTGGTGAGAGTTTTTTAAAATGTACTTACAGGGCTGGGGTTGAAGCTCAGTGGTAAAGCACTTGCCTAGCATGGGTGAGGCACTGAATTCAATCCTCAGCTTCACATAAATAAAAAATAAAGATTAAATTCTTTAAAAAAAAAATGTACTTACAGAGACTATTTTTCCCCCCAAATATTTGAAGAACATTAAACTTCTGGATCTGGGAAAATGCCTGTGAAATCCAGTGCCAAAAATCATTTACATACAGTTTCAAATGATTTTTTTTTTAAAGTGAAAGGACAATAAATCTACAACATAGAATCTGTCAACAACCCTTTTTTCTCTTGATTTAGAAGTGGCTCTTCTTATTGCCACCTTTCTAAATGTTTTTTGCTGATTTGAAACTATATCTACCATCCAGACCAATCTGAATCCTTCCAATCACCTGTGGCTTGGCAAAACAAAAGAAAAGGAATAAAGTCCAAAATTGCCTGCTACTGGAGTAAGTCCTTGTCCTTTCTTTTTTTTTCTTTTTTCTTTTTTTTTGTAGCTGAGCCGAGCTACAGTACATGACCCTGAGACTGGAAAATTGACCACAGCACAGTACAGAGTATCTAAGAGGTAAGGGAGTAATGGAGAGAACTTTGGTCATATTTGGACCATTTTCTTTCTTGAATTTAATTTTCACAAAATCCTTGATATGGTTTCTGAGACCTCAGCTGTTAAGTGTAGGTATTTGATGACATCTGTGCTTGAATTTTTATGATGGACCAATAAACAGACATGGTTATGGGGCAGTTGATGACATTTTCCAAAGTAATTTATTAGATTACAGAGTGCCTGGTAAGGCTCCTAAACTCTTTAACTTATATGTAAAGTTTGTATTCTCATATTGAAGTAAGAGAAGATCCCGAAGACTCTCCATAGAATAGGGCCTAATTTGGACTCTATTATAAATAAGAGTTAATCTCTAGTTCACATGGTAGCTGTAAGTATTAAGAAAGTAAACACCTTGAGTTATTACATAAGGAAACCTTTGCAAGTCAGTTTTAGATTCCTTGCTTTTGACAATATTTAAAGAGACTCTGATTATTAGCTGATAGATCACTGGAATGATTTTTAAGAATATATAATTTAGAAGCAAGCACAGAGGCACACACTTGTAACCCAGCAATTCGGGAGGCTTAAGCAGGAGGATTATAAATTCAAGGGCAGCCTCAGCAATTTAGTAAGGCCCTATCTCAAAAAGAACTGGGATGTACTTCAATGGTAAAGCGCTCATGGGTTTAATTCCCAGTACCAAAACCAAAATAACACCAATATTTCATTGTGACAGAATGAAATCATTTGAAATTATTTATGAAAATTTTAGTTGTCAACTAAAAATTATGCAAAGAATTACATAGATTTTTAACAATTATTTTACAAATAATTGTTAAATAATTTTAAAGATTAGATAATACATTCATGAACATTTTCTGTTTTTTGAGCATATATTTATGTCCTTCATGTACTAACCTTAACATCACCATATACATATTCTAGTTTCCTACCTGTCTCTACCCTATACCACTACTTGTCCTCTTGCCCAGTAAGAATAGGGAAGAAAAGGTTTTTTTCTCACCTCTCACTAGGTTATGGCTGAGTCACTACAACCAAAGAGATTAATAAGAGCATCCAAATTTATTTAATAAAGTGTTACATTACATTAAAGCCTTTAGAAAAGCATGATTGGACAAAGTAGCATATGATCTAATGGTGATAAACAAGAGTGAATTTAACAAGGCCTGTTTGTTCAGATACTTCTTGGCATCTCTGTATCTTTAAGGATAAGAATAAGTTCTTTTCCTTCAGGTATAAAGGAGGGTATCTTTGGAATGAAAATATTTTTATTTTGAGGAAGGTCAGAGAATTATTTTATGGCCTGTTTTATGGGTAAAGAATAGGAGGAGGTCAGAGATTTTCTGGCTTTGCTATTTCCTCATATGCCAGGTGCCATATTTTGGAGTAGAGCATCCAGAACTCGATCAGAAGACATGAAGAAAATTTAAATTTGCTTTAATATGATTTTGATTTAATTGTAGGAGCCATTTGTCTTTCAGGAACACCAGTAGATGGTAACGATTTGCAGAAACCAACTTGGGTAGACATGTTCTGAGAATAATTTATAGTGCTTCTGATCACTGTTATTAACCTGATTTTAAGTTATACTAATTTTCCATTGTATTACAGAACCTTGTTCATTTCCACAAAAATGAACCCCTTCTTTAAAAAAAAGAAAAACAAGTTGTTAGGTAATTCATCAGAGATGATTGCATGGTTTTAGACATTTTTTACTATCATAAAATTTATAAGTACTTAATTCTTCACATTTGGATGTTTCTAGGAAGCATATAAAACAACATTTAATAAGTTAAGGGTTTTTGAAGACATTTCTTGGAAATTTTCTATTTATATAATTATATACATATTATATATATTATAATTTCTATTATATTGTATGTATAAAATCTATATATATGCATACATGCATGTGTGTATGTATATATGTATATGTATGTGTGTATATACATACAAGCCCACAAATCTTTTGTAGGTGGTACTGGTGATTGAACCCCAGGGCCTTGTGCATACTAGGCAAGCACTATACCACAGAGCTACATCCCCTAGTCCTATGTTGTGTTTATTTATATATATATATATATAAAATAATTTTTTTTTTTAGATGTTGACGGACCTTTATTTTATTTGTTTATTTATATGTGGTACTGAGAATCGAACCCAGTGCCTCACACATGCTTGGCAAGTGTCCTACTACTGAGCCACAACTCCAGCCCCCTGATGTTTTATATTAACAAATAAAAATCTGTTTTTTCTATTTTGAAAATTTATTTTAAAGCTATGTGGAGTCATTTGCCACCCATCACTGTAAATCTTAATTTTGAAAATTCCTGTAAGTGAAATAAATATTTTCTCTTGTATAAGAAAAAGGCATCTCAGGTAATAAATGGAAGAAAATTTATGTGTTCTGATGTCTGTTAATATAATGCTTTCTTTTGCTCTGGGAACATCTGTATTCTGAAAATTTCTGGAAGGTGATTTCAAATAACTGTATTTTGAGAAATATCTAAGAGAGTACATTATCTTCTGTGGAAGTAAAATTTATTCTAGCATTCCAGCAAATGGAATTTTCTTTGGCAAAATATTTTTGAAAGTTCTTTATAATTTAAAACATGATTTAAGCCAGGCATGCTAGTGCACACCTGTAGCCCCAGCTACTCAGGGTCATCTCACATAATTGCTTAGAGCCTTGCTAAATTGCAGAAGCCTCCTAAATTGCAATGCCTGGCTAAGAAATTGAAGTTTTGAAAGGTAAACGTTCAGTTACATGTTCTGAAAAGACAAATTAGATGAGCTTATAAAGTTCGGTTGAAGTAATATAAATAGTGATATATATAATAAACAACAATCTATTTAAAGTGGTAGAAAAATCTTCTGTGATTTCGTGAATTATTCTTTTTTTTTTTTTATTTTTTTTTTTTAGAGAGAGAGGGAGAGAGAGAATTTTTTAATGTTTTATTTTTTAGTTTTCGGTGGACACAACATCTTTGTTTGTATGTGGTGCTGAGGATCCAACCCGGGCCGCACACATGCCAGGCGAGCGCGTTACCGCTTGAGCCACATCCCCAGCCCTTGGTGAATTATTCTTAGAAATGATTTTAATTTCTTTGCTCTGAAGTAATGTTTTCCTACAATATGACATTTATGATACCAAATAAAATGTTTATATTATGCTCAGAATTTAGTTTACCATGCTAATAAGGAGCAGATCCAGATATAAAAGTACTTTTACAATATGTAAGCATTACAAATAATTTTAAATAATTTCAGATTTTTTAAAATTTTAACATAATCTTAGCTTAAATTTTTAACAACACTGCCCTTTAATGGGTTGAACAGTGGTTCTCAGACTAAGAACTGAAATGGACAGATCTGTATGTAGTCTTGTTAATAGTAGAATAATTAACAAGACTACAGATCTGTCCATTTCAATCTGAGAACCACTGTTAACAACAGTTTGTTAACCATAGAGCACTTGAAGAACTGTTGGAATTTTTGCCCCCTGGCATTTTGAGCCCCAAATTACAAAGGCAAAAGATAATTTGCATAGTGATTTTTATATTAGCTAATTGTACATAGTTAATTTTCACATCTGTGTTGTGTTAGAAGGAGGCAGTGATGGTGTTCAAACTATATTACTGACATTTGTAACAATCTCCAAAACCTCCAAAATGGTTTTATTCACTTGTGCTTGTTTAGTGTGAGAATATTGTTTGTCAATAAAGCATTATTGTGATTTTTAAAAAAATTATGTTAAAAATGATAATGTAAAAAAAAAATAGTACCCTAATTAAATGTACGACTTGGCTAATAAGTTTGTCTTTAAGGCCAAAAGGAAGATATTTGGGGGAATTTAGTTTTTTTTGTTTGTTTTTACTATTGTTTTAGTTTGCACTGGACCTTTATTTTATTTATTGATATGTGGTGCTAAGAATCGAACCCAGTGCCTCACACATGCTAGGAAAGTGCTCTGCCACTGAGCCACAACCCCAGCCCTGGGCAATTTAGCTTTTAATGGAAGTTAGGGATTTGTATGAAGTTATTTGAAGCAAATTTTTTTTTTTTTCCTCCTGGCACTAAACTGTGTTATGGGGAAAACACTATAACTTAGTTGACATTTTCTAATACAGTTGTACAAAAAAAAAAAAAATCTTCAAATGATTGTTTTTGTTTCCTACTGGGGGTTGAGCCACCCAGGGGCACTTTACCATTGAACTACATCCCCAGCCCTTTTTATTTTACTGTGATTCACTAGGTTGCTGAGAGTCTTGCAAAATTTCTGAGGCTGATCTTGAACTTATGATCTTCATTCCTCAGCCTTCTAAGTAGCTGGGATTAGATGCCCAGCTTCAAATGATTTTTTTCCTATTAAAATAAATTCTAGGGCTGGGATTGTGGCTTAGCGGTAGAGCCCTCGCCTAGCATGTGCGAGCCTCTGGGTTTGATCTCAGCACCACATAAAAATAAAATAAAGATATTGTGCCCAACTTCAACTAAAAAATAAATAAATAAATTCTGTAATCTTATTTACTTATTTCTAAATTATTTTTTTCTTTTTATTTTCTGCAGTGCTGGGAATCAAACCCAGGGCTTTGTACACACTAGGCAAGTGCTGTACTACATCCCCACCCCTAAATAACTTTACATATTAATTTAGGTAAAGCACTGGGTACTAGAAAAAAGAAACCATGATTTCTGATGATTAAATTAAATGCAGGAATAACAGCTAGATTTTTAAATTACCTGATAGGTCTATAGTAATGTCTGCAAAGATATATTTGCAGGATTGATTCCCATGTGTCATTCATTTTCCTCTGCAGTGACTACAATAGAATCACGGTTAAAATGACAAGTTTTTTTTTTTAACCTGTAATCATTATTGGCTTTAACGGCTAAGCTCCAAACCTTCCATTGAGATCTTTTATAATCAGAAGTGCAAATTTTAAAAGTTTTAAGAAAATTTAAACTATTAAAATTATTTTTGCCTTTATGATTGACAA